CACTGAAGTAATGGTCTTAGAAATATTAAGGCATTTCCCACTACCCATGAACCACTTAAACTGAAGAGAGAACTTAATTGTCTGAGTCGATCAGTAGCAAAACAAGAATGAAAACAGCTACCCATCCAGCTACCACCTAGTCTAATCTTCTTTGCTATAAACAAGTTTTCAAACTTTCTTTTTAACAACTCGTCAACACAGGCCATAACAGCAACACTTCCACCTCCATCTACCCTCTGCTTACTCTCTGAAATTGCCACCAAAGTAAATTAATAAAGCTATCTATAAGAAGAGACAAGAAAAATGAATATAGTTCATAACTTATAGCAGCATAGGTCAATTTTTTTTTTATTTTATTCTATTCATGCTATAGTTACATGGGTAATAAATGTATTGGTTTAAAATTTTAAAAATAAAAAGCTAAGTTTTGATGCAAGGAATAAATTAGATCCAAAAAAATTAACATAGTCAAATCTAGTACCTCTTACATTTTTATGAAGATCTTTCTGATCATCTTTAATATAACTATATTAGTTCTTGTGTTGTGACTTGAAACCTAGAAATCGAATCAAATTATTTTCTAAAATTGTATTGAAGTAACATTACAATATTATATATTTCCAGGTGTGCATCATTATAAGTCAAAACTTGCTCATTATCTTTCAGTGTTCTCATCCAGAGAAAGACTCCTTATTTAGCACATCACCTCAGTTCTTCACACAATTTGCTCAGCTGTGTGAGAAAACCAGTGGGCAACTTTCCTCTGGAAAGAAAGACACAGACCAAGATGTAAAAATACATCAAACTAGAGGGTGTCTCAGGGCCTAAATATGGACAGCCTTCCTTAATGAATCCATACAGTCTTGAGTCAACCCATTCTTTAAGACTTGACTCAAAACCAAGTCTCTTAAAACCTGGCCCCATTTAATAAAACACACTACACACAAACACACACACATATGTATGTATGTATGTATGTGTGTATGTATGTATGTATGTATAGATATTAAGAATACATACATAAACAACAGTAAGCACATTCTAATTAACATGTACACATGAACGTACATGTTAATGTACTGAAAACATACATACATCGAAAATAAGTTAACTTCTTAAAAGATAGGTTAAGGTTCAGCATTAATACCTTTAATTTCTAAGGACAAAACATTCATTATTGTGTAGACAGAAGCTGTTCTCATTCCCAGACTGAATCCCATGTCCTTTTTCTGAACAGTCTAGTTAAAGGCTGTGTTACCACCCACTAACAATGTTCACCCTCCAACTTTGCCTCCCGTAAAGTAAGACATGGCCTTCCTTAGTTGGCCTCATTTTAAGAATATGTGACACGGATCCAGGGGCTGCTGGATACACACTATGAAGCTCCTAGGCAGCTAAATTATTCAAGAAAAGAAACGTTAGCTATTTCTAAATATCCTATCTCTATAAGGTCACAGCCCTTCTAAAAAATCATATTTTAAATGTACATTTTAAAAAGGCAATTTAGTATAGTGGCTACAAAGCTAGTTTAGAGTTACAAAATTCCGGTTTTAAATTTAACTGTACATGATAAACTATAATCCTGAAGCAAGTTATTTCTTATTTGTTTCACCTAAAACACAAAGATAAAAAGAGCTTGCTCCTCAATGTATGAAGAAAATTGAAAAAGGAATGTTTATAAATTAGCATAGTATCTGTTATTCAACAAATGGTAATCATTATGCTATTTTTTTTCATTATTAGTATTAAAGCAATAAAGCCATAAACTTGCTAATCAGAAAATGTTAATAAAACTTTTTAAAAAGCCTCCCTGGTAGCACAAGATTTTAAGTTTTAGCACTATGAAGCTGTCAGCAGCCACTACAGTATGAGTTCTATCCCCGCCCTGGGAGCTGCGCCACATGGTGCAGCAGACCTCTTCTGACTCACCCACTGCTCCTATCAACAATGTATTTCAGTAGTTCTTTCTGCCTGTTCTGCTCCCCACTTTATCTCTGGTGAATCCTGTCAGCCCCTGCACCTCTGGCCTGTACCCCAGTTCTTCTATGTAAAAATAAAATCTTTAAAAAAAAGTTTAAAAAAATCTACATTACTTAAATTCAGACAATCTAGCTAACATAGCAATGAACTCAATAATTTTTAGTACAACAGGTCTGTGCAAGCAAAAACTGAATACCTCAATTAATTTGGCAAGGTAATATCTATACTGCTACATGAAAAGTATGCATTTTTAAAATTCATACCAGTAAGAAAAGTTTTAATCATCTACTTCACAGACTGAAAATGTTCATACTCTGTCCCTACACTTTTTAAGCTGTCCATCACTACTCTTCTTAAAGAATATGCTAACTACCCAAGTTATTAATATGCCAGATGGTGCTCAGCAGTGCCTCCACAGGTAACTGGCTAAGAAATCTTCTTCCAAAAAATAGTAATGAGTAAGTTCACACTGAAGTTCAGAGAATCGCTTAGTAAAGGCTGATAATTTAATGCTCCTGAAACTACTTGTTTTGAGTTGACATCTTTATTTCTCATTATGAAAACAGTCAGCATTTACATTTACCTTATCATAACCCTTCATAATGTACCATAAAATGTGTTTATCTTAGACCAGATATTCAAAACACAGTGTTCAATTCAAGTAATTCATAATTACTAAACACCGGCTGAAAAATTAAGAATTCACTCCCCAAAAAAAGATATGAAAAAGATTTTCTTACTAATATTAAAAGCCAGGTATATTATAGAAAGGATTGTTGATGAAAATAAAAGAAGTTAATGGAATTTGTTGAAACTTTATTTTAATATCAGTCTCCTCAAAAATATGTAAATTCTCTGTTGAGTCTATCAATATAAACCAAATTCATTATATTTATTACATATACAGATGTACATATATGTATATATAAATCATGTGCCTCTAGTATAGTACTTCCTCTGTAAACAACATAGGGGTTCAGAGAAACAAGAACAGATACTCCCTCCAAATTCTGTAAACTCAAGAAAATGTTACTTGAGCCTACATTATAATTTTTTTACCAAAAATAAAAGAAACAAAAATAATACACAACAGGGCCTATCTGACCAACAGCTATGATTCATCGGTTTTTAATTATTCTCTCATATAGTCTGATTTTATTCTAGCTAAGAAGTACTTTTTAAAACTTATTTTCAATGATTGTTTCTATAACCCTTAAAGATGATGTCTAGTCTCAAATTTAATGTACATCACTTCTGTGCCACTGGAATAAGTGAGAAAATTCAACAAAACTGAGATACAGATAAACACCTGTTGAGCCCTCCCTGGTAGCACAGGGTTAAGTTTTGGCACTAAGAAGCTATCACAGCCACAGCAACACAAGTTTGATCCCCAGCAGGGAGCTGACCTATATATGGTGCAGTAGACCTCTCCTGTCTGGCCTGATTCTCCTGTCTGGCCTGATGCTCCCGTAAGCAGTGTGTTTCAGTAGATCTGTCTGTTGTGCTCCCTACTCTGTCTCTGGTGAATCCCATCACCCTCCTGCACCTCTGGCCTATACTCCAGTTCTTGTATGAATTAAAATATAAATCTTTAAAAAAAAAATATATACCTCTTTATGCAGACATATACAAACACATTTATTTTACTGAGGTAATAATGATTACTACACCATATATGATTCAGAGGTAAAGAAAGGATGATGCCTCTTGAATGTATGTTGCCACATCATACCCACTGACTCTATTTCACTTAGTGGAGTACTTATTATAAGCAAGATTCAAGTAAAAACACTCACATACCTAACAAAGCATAGTTAATGGAATCAAGGCACCACAGCTTATAGCTATGTAGCATAGCTTACCTGTTCATTTTTGCAAAGCCACACGCTGTTTCCACTTAGTACAGTAAAAATTTTGGCTTTATACCCTCTCAGTTCAAGATACCCACATTTCTCAGGAACAACTGTTTGAGTCTGTGAGGAAAGGGACTGTGATTTCAATGCATTTAACAGTATGCTGATCCACTCATTTCTCTCCTCTGAAAACAAAAACATGAGAAAATATAAACATCATTTTCATAAGGTTATATAGATACAGACATACAGGCAAGGATCTACACTCTCTGCAATATATAATTCACAGGTAAATTTTTCATGATCACAATCTGGAAGTTGGCTTCACCTACCAGCTGAAAAATCTCAGGAATCATTCCACACCTAATGAATCAGAATCTTGAAGATCTCCAGATGATCTGTCCATATTAATATTTAAGAAGTACTAATAGATTATTCATGAGATTGGATTTTCTCTTTTAATAGAAGTAATGTGATTTAACAGTTAACAGATTGTACCTGGCAATACAGTTACTTAAATGCCCAGAAAAACCTTACTTTCTAACAGTCATTGGAACATATTCAAGACCACACTTGCCTTGACATTCTAATCCATTTCAGTTGTACCCTCATCACTAAAAGAAGCATCTTATCTGAAAATTAAAACTTTGTTCTCACATTACACAACAGCTAAGTAACTCCAACTATGTAGAACACTCTTTGTTTTAGACACAGGAATTTGATTATGTCCCTAAAAGCAATAAGAGCTTAAGTCAAGATATGAGTAAGTTAGATATCAATACATAAGTAAAACTAAAACACTATAAATGTATAAATGATAGCAATTAACATGTGAGTCAATTCAAGAGAGGTGCCTGATTTGAAGTCATACAGCAAATTACTATTTAAAATGAGGGTATTCTGAGATGAAAAAATGCACAAAAATATGTAAAAATAAACTATTATACTTTTTTTAAGTGGGGTTATTTATGGTAGGTCTTTACAAAAGGACGAATTCAAAAGTCAAAACGAGTTCAGGAGGGAAAAGTTGAACAATACATTAGAGAAAAACATAAGAACAAAGGCAAAAAGAGCCAAGATGTACCTATTCAACATCTAAAAGTTGAGTGTATTTACAATTCTGGACTCCTAGGTTAACAATGAAAATTGTAGTTAGAGATTCTGTAGCATGTTGCAAGGAAAGTTAAAAGGTAGCTTGATATTGTCAATTGACTGGCCAAAGAAGGTGGAAAAATCTTTTTTATAAACAGAACCACATAAGCTTTTCAGTTTCTTCATCTGAACATCTAGAAGAATGACAGCAACACACGAATGAAGAAACTTTCACAAGAGAAGACACATGAAAGTAGATGTTCAATGTAAAAGGAGACAAAATGGACAGAATTAAGCTATAACTGCATCTATGAACATGGGGAAAAGGCTAGAAGGAAAGCGAAGGAGAAATGGCTATTAAGGCAAAGTGGAAAAATAAAACAGACTGACTCCAGGCAGGAAAATAATTAAGCATTTGAAGAAGGAAGGGGAAGAAAATAATAAACAGGGCCAACATTTGGGAAATGGAGTATTATATCCAATCAGTCTAGTACAGGTCTGGTCAGAATTACTTCACTGAGCTGAAACAAATCTCCACATTAGTCTTGCCCACATCCGAACATGAATCCATTGTAAGTATCTTCATTTTGTATTTGCTTAATAGTTAAAAACTATTGAAGACAGTTATATAGAAAGTCAAAGTATTTGATAAAAACTCATTTTAACATATCCCCAAGTAATAGCGCTTGTTTATATCAGTATAAAGTATCTATCAATCATAAAAATATGCATCATTCAACTAAAAGACATGAAAATATTCAGGTCACTAGGTCAACGTCAACAACAGCAAATACCAACTATATACCAGTTATAATTTGGTACTGTAACAAACCTTGTGGTCATTGTTTTCACACAAGACACTCCTGTCAAGTAAATGATATATAATGACTTCTGTTTATTTGTACTAATTTCCATAGATGACTGACTTTGAAGTGTAGGCAATAATTGAATGAACTAAGCCAAAGGGGTCAAAACATCTAGATTTCTATTAGCATATATTTCAGTTTCTCAGGAAATACTTTGAATTAGGAATTGCATCTGTTGGACTTAAGCATATTATGGCTGCATCTCTACAAATGGTTCCCTTAAAGCCTAGAAGATTACCTAACTCCTGAGGGCCTCATTTACTAAGAGGAAATAAACAGTCATGAAGAAGGGAATTAATAGTAACATTCAGCTTATTCTTAATTACCCATGCCAATGGAGATAAACAGTGATACAGATAATCAAACATAATAAAATAGATTAAAGCATTTAGTTGTGCAATGAGTACAGCCTTGCACATTGGGAATATGCTTTGATAAGTTACAATATTCCCAAAAAGTAGTAATAATAATGGTGTCCCCTTCTGCTAAATGTCTTAGACAAAGCTTGATAGATTCTGGCCGTTTCTGTCTTCATACCAATATACTTTCATTCTTTCCAGTAACAAATATTTATTGATTACCTATCTTGACTTCAGTGCTGTACTAAATACCATTCTTCCTGAGAAAATGCTCTGGCCCAGATATAGTTTTGCTCAAAATGAAGCAATCTAGGGTAGGAGAAAAGGGTAGTGTAATAAAGAAGTTGGGGAAACAAAAAGTGTTTAAATCACTTTATTTCCTTTTGCTTATGTCACAATGTAAATAAAAGATAAGCAAATTTCCTCAAACATCAAGTTGGTCCTTGAGGTTTTCAGGAATGACAACTTACGTGTAAGAATAAAAAGAGGAGGATAAAACAGGAGAGACAACATTGTCTGGATGAGTCAGGAGGAGACATATTTTTAAAAAACAAAGGATTGCTCGATTATCCTGGCAATTGCTATGTAAGGGTTGTAAAATATTAACGGAATCTAGCAAAGTTTAGTGTGACTCTTACTTTGACATAATATTATAATCTAAAGATTCCTCAAGGTAGCCCATGATCCAAATTTGGTAAGGATATATTGCCCAACAGGGTTGTTCATGAAATTGATAAAAAAAAAAAATTCATATAAATAATTACTGAGCACTGACAATGCACTGAGACTATCTGGATACCAGGAACAGAAGAGCAGACAAAAGAGGCAGTGACCTTATTTCTTGGAGTTTCCCTGCTGTGAGGTTCATATCAGCACTGTACTCTCAGTAAGCGGCAAGACAACAGAGCATGCGGCATAGACTACCATGATCTGAATGCCTTGTTGACTGACTGCTTTGACCACTGTGTTGAAAATAAAACAGTCCAGCCAACCTAGGGAGGTTATTACTTATAGTAGGGTGACTGGTGGCTTGCATTGGGGTGGCAGCAGTGGATGGAGACGTGTTTATAATTAACTCATATTTCCCAGTGAAACTGGTAAAGCTTGCTGATGAACTGGGTGTGAGGTATGAGAGAAGAAAAACTGCAAGATAATAGTCAATCCAAGTCTATAGTAGGGAATTCTTCATTTTCCCAATTCTCTCTCCAAATAGCAAATGACCCATTCTTGCTTGTAAAAAATTTTAATGCGGGTAAGTTCATTTTTCCAAGGGGGGCATTGACATGTGTCCTACTCCAAGTGTTCTTTTTTTTTTTCTTTTCTTTAGTAAAAAAGAACTTTACAGTGCCATACCCACCACCAGGGGGCCACGTGATACCCTCTAGAAGGATTGAGGGAAGGACACATGTGCCTGTCTCTGGGGTATCTAGAATCTGCTAAAGGACACTGGGGCTCATGGGGCCTGCAGCTGAGAACCAGTACTGAGAACAGCCCTGAAAAGGGAGTGAACCGAATCCTTAAATTCTCTTCTAACTAGGAGGGCTGCCCCAGATAAAGTGTATTGGAAAGTAACATGTCAGAACGCGCAAGCACCATGCCCAGGGAGGACAGACTGACTGGAGAGATCACGAGCACTACTGACCTCTGCCCAGTTCCAAAGGTTCTGCTTGCACATAAAACAAATTTTCTATCGGAGGAAGAATATTGTAAACTATTCTTTCAGCATCTGTGACGATATAAAAACCAGTGCCTCTTTCTGTTTGACACTGACTTTCCTTTTTGGTTAGATTACAGTTCAATTTGACTTGGAGTTTTTTTTTATAAGTCACTATGGGTAACTTCTAAGTGTCTGCAAAATGAAAAGCAACATTTGTGTATGTGGGAGGTGATATAACACTTAATAAAACACATTGAGTACCTGAAGACTCCACACTAAATATGCACATGCAGACAATAAATAAATACATAAATACAAACATCTACACAAACTTACCTTTTACATCTACTTCTTTCACCATGTGAGTTGTTATTATGGAAAAATGAATTTCAAAATAGCATATTCACTAATTCTATGTCTGTTTTTACTGAACCAATAAATTCATGGTTTCACAAATTAAAGACCTAACACTTAAACTATTCATACCTACGTTAATGAATTTTCTTTTTTATCATTAAGGTGACACTGGTTCCATGGTTGTGTTTTAGAGGCACTGGATGTTACCCCTAAGGTGCTGCTATGACATTACAGTCGCCTCGAAGGCAGGAGTCTCCAACCACCATAGTCCAAGAACAAAATTCTTGTACTAAATTTAAAGCACAGTAATTGATGAACTCCCTATCACAGAAGGATTTATTGGCCAATTGTAAATATGTAACTTCTAAACATGTGGGGTGATACATTCTTTTTAAATAAAATGTGTCTGTTTAACTTTTAACTGCTACAAGTGAAAATGCTAGAGATTGTCACACAAGCTAGTAGTTGTATTCTGTAGGTCTAGCTTAGAATGCAGGCTGTGTGGTAAATGTAAAATTCAATTTAAAAACCCAAGGGTATGGTACTAAGCACCTCCCTGAGACAGGAATCACCATTCAGCTCTGTGAAACCAAAACACAAGGAAAGACCTTCACAATTGCCCATCCATAGGAGAAAGTATGTGGTCTAGGAATGCTGAAAGACAGAATTTGTGATTTGAAAAGCAAGGCCCATAGTGCACATCACATCTGTGTGTAGCTTTCTGAATTTCTGACTCACAAATAGTGGTTGATGACACAGGCAATCCGATATAGAATGGTCTAGCTCAGGCATTAGAAAACTTTCTCTACAAAAGCCCATACAGTAAGTATCTGATACTGTCCTGGACATACAGCCCGTGTTACAACACCCAGTACTACCTCAGACACAAAGCAGCCAAATGCAAATGAGAGTGGCTGTGACCTGACAAGAAAGCAAGCAAGGGGCAGAGTTAGGTTACAGGTCACAATGTATTAACCTGTATTTGTAGGACTACAACTTTCAACAATTTTCAAAATAGCAACTTAAGCAAGGAACCAGTTTTACTTTACATGTGGAGAATCCATACACAGGATATGCTACAATGTGCTAATATACACCTGCTGTGGTACCCTTTTGACGATTCTTATTCTATCTAAAGTATGTTTGGGGGAATTTCCTTTTGGTATCATCAGAAATCTCACAATAGATTTCACAATGGATAGTACTCATTCAAAGTGAATTTGAAAAACCACTTTTCCGAAGTGAAAAGCAGCTGGAACTTACCCATTTACTGATTATCCCAAGAAATAATGGAAATTTTCTAGTTATAAAAAAACACGTATTGAATGCTTTCTTTGTGCCATACACTCTCATATGATCTAGTAATCTAGCAGCTTAATAATACAAGTACAGTTCCACTAATGTTAAATATGTGAGTTTCCAAGAGATTAATATTCATTTATAAAGTGGGATAATAACTGCAATATCTATGCATCATATAACACTATTGTGAAAATAAAACATCTAAAAAAATTTCCTGGAACATACTAGTTAGCTTTATCTATTAATATGATTCGTTTGATTAAGTAAAAGAGGTATTTTAAAAACCAAGTAGAGAGATAATCAGTACTAAAATCAGTACTGTAGGCTTTACAGTTAAGTTTCTGTAGATAGAAAATTTGTTTTTGCATATTAAGTAACTACTGTGTATTGTCAAAGCAACTAAAAAGAGAGCTCTATAAAGATTTCCATCTAATTTTTATTTACTGATGAATATCAAGAATATAGGCAAACCCGCAGAACTTGGTATATTCTCACTGAATATTTGATGCATGAAAGAATCGTGAACAAATAAGTGATCTGTCAAACATTGTGTTTTAATATTACAGAGTTCTAAAAATTAATATAAGATGTAGATCGTTTAAATATAACAGCACATGGAAAGTTTCTGTGACATTTCTAGATAATCATTTTATAAAAGTTTTGATTGGTTAGAAATGTTATCAGAATAAGGAAATGAACTTACCTTCTTTTTCTACTCTAAAAACAAAAGTTCTTTGTGTTGTAACAACTTCAAATTTATTGTCTCCTTGAACTCGTACTGTAGATATAGCAGAAAGGGGAATTATTCCCTTTGAATACTTCTCCTGTATTGGTTAGACAAAAGGACACATAAAAAAAGATGTATTAAAATGAAATTCTCTTGAGCTTATATAAAAAATGCATAATATTTACAAATGTTCCTGTATTAATTCAATCAAAATGCATAGATAACATATAGATAGCAGATATTTTGTGTGTGCGTACTTAAGCATACACACGCAAACACATACCACACATTCTCATGCACACTTAACAGCCCAGAAAGGAACATTTTATATGTCCCTTCAAGTTGCTATCTGCAATTTTCTCTTCACCCAAATTAAAAAGACAAAGGATCAAAAACTAGCATACTACACTGACAATAGTGTTGCAAAAAAACAGCATTATGTTCTTTGAAATAGTCTAGTAAAAATGATTTTATGGTGTTTGCAGGCATCTGGTGGCCAAAACAGGTACTGTAACTAAACCAACACAAAACCACTGCTACCACATATTGTGGAAAACAGAATATAGCTGAGAAACCAGACACTGGATTCTACCTACTAACCACACTGCACGTGCTCCGAGGTGATCTAAGCCCACAATGACATCACATTATTTTTCATCCACCAAAGAATAGTAAAAAAAGGATGGATTTGCCTGCTTGCAAATGTCATACACGTATCACACTTTGGCACCACATGGTCATTCTTAAGAGTCTGGTAATTATCAGTCATCCTTTTTCTGGGCCCTCTTAAACTGTCTGGCATAATGACCACCCCATACTTGCAAATATTTCCAAAAAGTGTAATATTTATTGGACCATCTTCTGCAAAGAAATTTCACAGAATATTTGCACATTCAAGGAACATCACAATGAAAAAAACCAGCTAAGATAATAAAAGAAAAGTTTATAACTGAGCATAAACTATTGAATATGAGCATACAAAGATGAGAAATCACAATTCTACTTAAAAGAGATCAGAGATCAGTGTAGTTTCTTCTGCTTTTCCATTAAACAACATTATCTGCAAACCCCTTACTTTTGAGCAAGTTTCAAGTATCATAAATGACTGCTGAGGTAAAGAATATACTAAATCACTCCATGCAGAGAACACATGTCCTATTCATATTCTTTCCACCAATAAAAACCTTGCCATACACAACAGATAGGTAAGGGTTTACCAGAAGGCCTAGCAGCTGCCAGCTGAGGGCTATACTATACAAGCATGGGATCCTGCTTAACTCCAACAGCTGCTTCTCCACTGCTTCTGTTCTAATCTCCTCTCCCAGATTTTGTCCATCAAAACCCTAGCCATTCTTTAATGCAATCTGAAATGCCAACAGCATTTAGATCCTCCCAGGTCCTGAATCAGTCAAAACTGAATTTATTCACCTGTGATTTAGTAAGATGGGTGGGTAACCTCATAGAGAAGAGGGCGATGAAAATTAAGTACCTATAATTTTCCTTTTTCATGGGCATTATCTTCTCTTCCAGAGAAAGAAAATCCCTTGTTACTCTTTCAACTACCAACTTCACCAGAGAATTCTTGTCCTGTCAGTGACTCTACTTCCACAGGTCACCAGGGGTGCATGAACTATCCCATAAGTATCTCAAAGTTTAAAACTGAACTATCTCCTAAAAATGTAAACTCTTCACTCTATACCCATCTATTAAAATATCAATGTTACGGGCCCTCCCTGGTGGCGCAGGGGGTTAAAGCACTGCACTGAAAAGCTAAAGCCGCTTCCGCATGAGTTCAATTCCCGCCTGCCCCGGAGGAGACCACATGGTGTGGCAGACCTCTCCTGGCCTGCCCGCTGCTCCCCTCAGCAGTGTACTTCATCGATCTGCCTGTTCTGCTCCCTACTCTGTCTCTGGTGAAGCCTCTCGCCACCCCTGAACCTCTGGCCTGTACCCCAGTTCTGTATACATAAATAAATAAATCTTAAAAAAAAAAATCACAGTTAGTACTGAGTAGAACAACCTTACTTGTGACCTTCTGCCCCCACGCAACCTGGACTTCATACTACAGTGTCCATCTGCTCCCCTCCACACCCTGGCACTGACTGGTCATATTACCCTTCATGGGGTTCCCCGAGCATCAGATCCATGCCTCTGCATACACTGTTCATGCCCATCTTCACATAGCTTCTGCCTCCACATTCTTCATACTTCAGCAAGAATATACAGCTCTGAAGAAAACCTTCTGAGCAACCTCTTTTCCCAGGCACTTACCCCACCTTCCTTCAGGCAGATAACTAATTCAAGGTAATATCAACCTGTTCCTTTCTACTACATCAATTATTAATAATTTTGTACTTACTATAATCATTTGGTTAGTGCATTCTCTCCAGATAGAAGAGACTAAGAGCTAGAGGACTGCTTTCTTCATCAATTTTCACATAATCAGTGTATATTTCCTGAATGAACGGATCCCATAGCCAATCAATCACAATAACGTCAAACTCTAACAGCTCATTTTCAATAATTTTCTAAAGTACAGAATTAGCATAAACCCTGTGAAGTTAATGCTTGATTTATAGCACACATTCCTGGATTACCTCTCTGCCTTAACCTTGTTTTCCTTCTAACTATCCCCATATATTATTGTTCAAATGCCACAGGTGGAGAAAGTAAAAATTTAGGGACTAGTTTTACAAGATGGGTTTTGATTAATGGCAATAACTGGGAGGTACAAACATAAAACAAAACCATGGAGTAAAAATACAGGAAAGAGACATGCTACAGTTTCCACAGTATCCACCCAGGCACCTCTGAAAAAAAAAAGTCATTGTAAGGAAATTCTTGAGATGGGTTTAAGGAAATCCAATAAATGAGAACAGGTCAGAGCAATACAGACAAGACTAGACAACTTTAGGGACCACTCCGGAGAGAAAGCCTCCCCACTGCCGGGTAACCCAAGAGGCAGGAAAGAGTACTGTGCCTTTGAGGATAGCGTAGGACCTCTATGGCAATAAACCTGTAAGTGTAACAGATACAGGTTTCATGGACTCCGCCCCCACTCCAGATCCTGGAACTACTAATCCCATCAATATCAATGAGAAGCACTCTGGGACATGAGGGTGGAGCTGAGCATCCAGGTTGGGATAAAAGTGAACATGTGGGCTCTGGGGGTCTCTTGGCCCGGTGGTACGCAGCTGGTCGTTTGGCTCTTGATCAGCTTTTGTAACAGGGGGTCCCCAGGTAAGGGGAATTTCCAGGTTCCCTGCCCCACCCAAAAGGAGGATGGAGCTGAGCAGAAAAAAAGAAGGGAGGAGAAGGTATCTGAGAAGGAAGCAGGATGGAGAGCCAGAAGGAGACCTGAGGAAGCCACAGGGAGCAAAGAGCCATTGATGAAGAAACCGTGTTTATTTCTTGGGCCTGGACTGGCTCAAAGAGATGTGGGTGAGAGTCCGTGGAGAGGTTTATTATGGCAGTGTTTATATTGGTTTTGATTGTGCGCTTTCCTCCCAGACTTTTCTGGCTATTTGTGACCCTTTTCTATGGGTCCTGGCCAGAAGGTGCTTTAGTCTTGTGGCAGCTTTCAGGCCTTGCTTTGGACGAATCCCTTTTGGGTGGACTTTTGCCCACGAGGGGGTGGGTCACTTCAGGTGTTTGATTTAGAAATTATATTCTTTATCTTCTGTATTGTATACTCACTGTATTAAAGTTCCTTTTCATTAAAGTGTTATATGTTTTGTCTTGATGCGGTGGATGGCAGAACCTACTTACAGCAGGCAGGTTTGGGGGTCAGTGGTTCCCCTCTCCCTGCCCTGTAACAGTAGCTGAGGACAGACAAGGACATTTCTATAAATTTTATGTGCAAAAACACATTTTCTGCCCTAGGCAATACTTCATCAAATTTTAGTTCTTCTAAGTATTAGAGTAGCTTATTAAGAAGTATACAATTAACCATTTACTGAATAAAATGTTCTCATTAACCCATTTTTCAGTAGTGAAAATTCAAGCAGCATCACAAGAAAAAAAGGAGGAATTTGTTCCTCCTTTTTTTTTTTAAAGCAACTGCTTAAAAAAAATTACCTATATGCCCATAATAATGATATTATATTTAGAAGATAAGTACTTATGGAAGAGTAACAAGAAAACAAATTCCCCAGAAGTGATCAAAATGTACTTAACAAGCTAAATAGATGCCAGTTCAGGAAGCTGTCATTTCTCTAACAGCTCCTTTTAATCTATTTTGAGATCCCAAGATAAATTTCATATTCTTAAATATTGTAGAGTTGATTTTACAGTTATCTCTATGATAAAGACAACATAGAGGGGTAAACTCAATGACAACAGACTCTGACTAGTGCATTTTTAGAGTGCAAAATTTTCAAGAAATTCTAAAGCATCCCTTGAGCTTGGAACACAGATATCTAGGTCAAATTTGCCATTTATCTACAACTTTCAGACAATGAAGCATGCAATTCTGCCCACAGCCAAGAACAGGGGTGAGTTAGATTTCTTGGCAGGTTAGATAAGATAGCAAGGCTTTGGGGATGATGTCATTTTCAGTAATACAATGAAGAAGTCTTTGCAGATAACTGATTGAGCAGCCTAGAGAAAAGTGGAAGAAACTCAGCCAACAGGCCACTCTGCGCGTTACTTCCTAACACCCCCAGCCACATGCCCCTCGGTTGCAGTTTAAACAATGACAGAAAGCCTCAGCCTCTTTGACATGGCCACTGAAACTGCACCCAAATGACTCAGCCATCTATGGCCACCTCTTTGCTTTCTGTTCACGGCTTCTGAAATCTTCTCTTCCCAGTTCACCAATTCAGCCCTTTTGCCAGAAGAGTCAAAACAGAACCCACTTCTCCTTTTAGAAAACAGCCATTCCAGTGGTTTTTTATTTTGCCAAGATGAAACCAGCTTTAAGGCCAAGTGAGATCATGAAATAACATAGAAAACAGTAATTTGGATTTAAGACATCTGATGTTAAGGTAAATGATTTATAATAATTTTAATGATATATTTATCTCAATTTCATACTACTATTTTTTCACAGGTATTTTAAAGCAATTGGCACTGATCTTCACAGCAGTTCAGATGAGCTTTTAGAGGAAAAGGAGGGAAAAAGTCTACTGGATACTATCAATAGAAACTCTCTGTTCCAAATGGAGATAATGATTCCAAAACTAACAGTGCCTCATAGTATGCAAGTCCCTCTCACTTGTAAACAGTTTCCCCTCTCATTTCAATCAAGTCAGAGGAGAAGATTACATGCAGAAAACCAATGGGGTCAGATTTCATCAGATAATGAGACTTCAGCTGTATCCACCCTTTGGCATAAAAATTGTCCCAACATACAAATTTAAAAGCAGACAAGAGAGAAGGCTAAAGCAGGAGCTCAACTTTTAAATAAACATGCATTCGACCATCTTGCAAACCTCAAAGAGGTGCATTCAAACCTAGTTGATACAGCTGAATCATTGCAAAGATAAGAGAAGCAACCAACAGGTCACTGACTTTAGAGAGTTCTCAATTTAACAGCAGCAAGAGATGTTAAGGTGCAATGTCTGTACTTTCAGTCTGAAGTCACACATGGTTTTGCCAGCAGCAGTGACAAATCAACATATGAAAGGATCTAAATCGCAAGTCAAAAATTTCACCATTAGGCATTTAAAATCTCTATTAAATAATGAGAAAACACCAGGTTTTAAACCCTGAGTTTCAGAATATGGTTGAATATTAAATAAGTGTAATAAGAAAACATATAGTTAAAACTACATAATACTGATTTAATTAAATAAAGATGGGAGTTCATTAAGAAAATATTCAGTGCAGAAAAGCTGAAAGATTAGTACCACACTCATTTCTTTACTAAATTTGACAACTGCTAACAACTTAAGGTTTTATTTTATATATGTGTGTATGCAAACATGTTTGTAGATACCGCTATATAAATAACTAAAATAAGAAAAATACTTGCAGATAAGACATTCTTCTCCTGAGTATTTCAGCTTAAATCTCCTAAGAACAAAATCATCTCCTATAAGAACAAACAGCATCTCAATGTTACGACTCAACTACCTATGTAACCACCTATGTAATACAGCAGGTCATCAAATAATGTATTCATTCAACAGAATTTTTACATTAATGAGAAAAAAGAATTTTCCCCATATTAAACAAAATGACTTATTGAGAACATCGCTTCATTATACATCCTTTCTCTCAAAGTTGCAGTTTTTAAGAATCAATGGACAATGTTAAGTTAGGATTTCCTGTATTTTGTTAACACTGTCACATAATCGTCAAGATTTTTCACTGACCTCTTAACTCCAAGCACCCTTTTCTCAGCTCCCTACCCACAAGTCTCACTGCTCTGTTCCCACAGAGAACTACTCCACCCTACCAATGCACAGCCCACACTTTCCACCTGGCATCTCATTTGTCCTCTCTGACAATATATTCTATTTTGGCTGGTTTCTCCACATACATTTCTCTTTCTTGCGATGATAAACATCTGAAGAGTTGTAACGCTATTCTCCAAAATCACATACAGTAATGTAAATCAATGTCATTTCAATATTAAACAAATCTAAAAGTAACATCTCAATGCATCACTGAACAAACTGGTAGAATTTTTCTACCATATGGTTTGGCTACGTGTACTGGAAGTTCACTTCTAGGAATTTGTCCAAAAGATTGATCAGTGGTATACACAACAATATGATAAAGAAAATGTTAATTATGCAATGGTTTATATTAATACATATTTTAAAAGAAACCAAGGCAAATTTAAACAATGTGGCAAATCTGTTTGATGAAAGACTACATAAACTAACACAAAAAACACACAACAAGTAGCTCCTATGGCAAATGAAATCTCACACGCGATGGTTCCTTTGTTCTTCCACAACCATTCTCAGCATACAAAATAACCTCTTCTTGTTTAGCCAGTTTCTACTGGCAGTGTCATTTTTTAAACTTTGGTTAGTGCTCTCTGGGAAAAAGACAACTACTTGCTCATTTGTGTACTGTTCATAATAACTGCGGCTTACAGAAGAAACTTCATAAATAATTTGTTTAAAGTAAACAGTGGTATGCATCAAGAGAAAGTTAAATGATGGGGAAAAGTATGTATTTTTATCCTATTCAAATCCTTTTACTTTACATAGTCCAACTCTTATTCTTAAAAATCAAATCACTTGCTTCTTTTGTACTTAGTATGCCCAAAGCAATCTTTGAGAACTGTAAAATGCATTTACCTTATCGTTATTGTAATAAGAAATGCTAAGGCCGTCAAATTTCACCCATCTCTTCTGAAACATGCGTTTTCTGTAAAACATATAACATGGTTATTTTACATTTAACTTATACCCTGAACTTGGTTTTTAAATACATTTGTAACAGGTTGTGCTGAGTACATCACCATGACTAAGCCGGGTAAAAGGCATTAGGTTATGACAACCCACAGTTTTGCAGGGAGCAAAGAAAAAAAGAAAATACATAAATGACACTTCCCGATAAACTGACAGGGAAATTTCTAAAAAATGATATTGATAACAACACTACCATCCACATCTGTAAAGTAGAGTGCAAAATCAAAAGGTGGTGAGAAACACTATCAGTGCCCCCAGGTCTCTTTAAGAAGAGGACCCTTTAATGAAGATAACAAGAACTTGCATACTAGGCTTTTAATATTGATCTTTAATTTTTCCAATTTTTTTTTTAAGTAACAAAGCTTTGTTGTTTGGAGTTATATAATTTAAAATAAGCCAAAAAGCCCTTTTCTAAATTATAATCATCTGCAATTGCCAAAATTCATTAAAACACTTTTTTTAAAGAATCTTATGAAAAACAAATGCAGTTTAAAATGGTTACCAACATGAGAAACAAAGGAAAATAATGCAATCGCATGTTTCCTATTTAGCTTGGGGGAAAAAATTTTCTGACTATATAAGGGAAAATCAAAGAATCATTTCTACAAGGACTTATGAGTACTTTGTTTTGTTGTGTTCCTTTCCCTGTAGTCAAAATATCCTAGAGGTTTTTATTATCATATTCTCTACAAGGCTCTCAGTTTGGGCTGATTCATTCTAAAAAACATTTCACCTTTAACACACATAATATACAGAAACTAACTTCCAGTTTCATATTAATTAGGTAGATAATGAGTCCCCTTTCTCTAACATGTTTTAGATAAGGAGTTTGTAGCATTTCTGTAGCTTCAAAAGACCTAAAAATAGAAAAAGAATGTCAGGCACTGCACAGGAAAGGCCCTCTGGCCACTTCCTGAGTAGGACAGCTCTATTTATTTACTCAAGTGAAGCAGTGAGCCTCCTGCATTCACTGTATTCAACTTATTCTGCTTAAAATAGTAGCATTACCTGGTAACATGGAAAAAGACTTTGAAGTTGATCAGTGCAGACAATATTTTTATGTATTATTCAACAAATTATGAATTAAAACAAGTTGTAAAGACTTTAAATCCTATAACCACAACTGATGTGCCAGTCGTGGGACATCTTTCCATCTTACTTCCTTATCGATCAATTTCTTTTTAACTACGCTTGGCCTAAAATGACACATGCAATACTATCACAGATAATTGTTTTTTCTTCATTCACCAACTAATGGGTCTTCAGCTTTCCAGCAGCAAATATTTAGAAGGTAATGAATGTTAGTTAGCCATACCTAATAGTTATACAGTGAATCAATTAATCATTTCACACTCATTTCATGTTACGTTTAACATACTTAAAAACAAACAAATACGCACCTTCCCAAACGACAGTTACTTTGTACATCAACATTTTGTTTTGGCATTAGTAGGAGAGATTTAGTAACTCCTACATTCACAGCAACATTATTCACTACAGACAATCCATGGTCTCAGCCTAAATGTCCACTAGCAGATGACTAGATAAAACAAAAATGGAGTATTTACCCGGTGGAGTACTATGCAGCTATTAATAAAGATGAAAGGGTACCTTCTAGGACAAAAGTGATGAGTCTGGAGTGACTACGCTAAGGGAAGAAGGTCAGAAAATGAAAGACAGTTACAGGATGGTCTCATTCATTTGCAGAATATAAACAAACAAGAAAAACAAACTGGCAAAACAAAGAATTCTTAGACTACATGAGAAAATACACTGGTTACCAGAGGGAGAGGGATAAGGGAAAGGTGAAGGGAGATGACAAGGCTTTGGCACTGGAGCCTTGTGGAGGAACAGTGAAACATGTGTACATGTAGAGGTGTGAAGCTGTACCTCTAAGCTACATAGTTATGTAAAGTAACGGCAAAATTGGCACAGTGGGTTAAGAAGCAGTACTGCAAGCTAGCCACAGCCGCTTCAGTGGGAATTCGATCCTCCGCCCGGGAGGTGATCCACATGGTACAGCAGACCTCTCCTGTCCTGCCTGCTGCTCCCCTCAGCAGTGTATTTCATTAATCTGCCCATTCTGCTCCCCACTCTGTCTCTGATGAATCCTCTCACAGCCCTTGCACCTCTGGCTTGTACCCCAGTTCTGTATGCACAAATAAATCTTAAAAATAATAATAATAATAATGGCACATCAATAAAATGTGGATAAATAAAAGATTGGGTTTTGGGTCCTCACCCACCTTACATTGTGAACAGTGGTATACAGGTAGGATGTAACTTAGTGATACATACAATGTTTTTAGAAAAAAAAATAAACAAACAACCTATGGTGCAATAAAAGCCTTAGGACTTTTCATTACCTCTGAAACCTCTGAGCTAACTACTCTTTATCTATTACAGCTACACCTAAATCACCTAGAGACATTCCATCCTGATGAGACAGTCCAAAAGAAATCAGTTGTCCTCACTCAAAATGCTCTCTACCTTTCCTCTGGGGGAGTTTAACACCATCTCTAATTACATGTATGTATTTACCTGTTTAATGTCTAAGTCCCAAACCAGTCTTTACACTTTATAAGAACAAAGCTCAAGAATGTTTCATTCTCTGATATATGATCAGCAACAATCACAGAAAAAATATGACACATAGAATTTGTTAAGTGGATGACAAGATTAATCACAGTCCCTTTGGCAACACAGGCAAGAAGAGACACATCAGCATCTTTAAGAAGGAAGCAGGCTAAAGGCAAGGAAGGTGTCTGAAAACTCAAACAAATTCAAAATTTTAAAACCTGACAAAACAGAGAGTAGAAAAGTTTGGAAAACTACTTTAATAGATCTTAAGACAGTTTACTTGTAACCATTTGGACTCAAAGTTTTCTGAGAAATCCATCAGGATCTGTATGGACATTTGGGGTCTGAGACAGTGTCCAAAAGATAACCAGCCATGTCCACAGAAAAATGAGAATGGGAACAGGAGAAGAGACAGTTTAAGGATGAAAGACACCATCATCTGACTGACACCATCATGTGAATAACTACAGCTCTCCTCTGAGATAGTGGCTACAAGGGACTCTAGCTCTGTGGAAAACTAGCTAACTGCAGATGCAGACTCAGCTCCTAAAATATCGCCTCAGTCAGTTCACCTTCTCACCTATGATGACTAACAGATGTGCTCAGCTCTTTTACAAATCTGTTTTTGAAGTAACCTTAGTTGACACCAATGTGTATGTTTTAGGGATACAGATTCACACCACGCACATCACCCCAACTCCAGTACCTGGATTAGACTCGCCAGTCCACTGGGGTCCTCTCCACCCTTTGCTCCTATCCCCACCCTGCCCTTCTGCCAGCCTGGGCTGTGAAGCCAGAGTCCCAGAATGTGTTTTGGTACAGGTTCCTTGATGTTGTTTCTTTATAATATACATATAAGGGAGAGCATGCAGTATTTGTCTTTCACCTGACTTATTTCACTTAGCCTCTCGTACCCTTCTAGTTCTATCCATGTTGTCACAAATAGCAAGATCTCATCTTTTTAGTAGCTGAATCATATTGCAGTATGCTCATATATGCCTCATCTTCTTTATCTATTCTGCTGTTGGGCATTTACCGTAACTTGACCAGTGTAAGCAATGCTGCAATGAACACAGAAGTTTCTCTATCCCTCAGACAGAGTTTCCATACCCTCAAGCAGTTACCTAGAAGTAGCTGGATCAGATGGCAGATCTATTTTTAATATTCTATAACTTGATGGATTACTAAGTTTAATAATATATGGAGAATCAAGTTAACAAAATAATTTCCAGCCATATTAAAAGAAAATGAGAGCACTACATAGTGTAGCAGATAAAAAACATTCATTCTGCAAGTAGAGAGAGCCTCTGTGAAACTCTACCATTAAAAGTACTTCTGGGCTCTTCCCGGTGGCACTGCGGGTTAAAGCACAGCACTATGAAACTCTCCTAAGCCACTGCATGAGTTCAATCCCCAGCCAGGGAGATGACCCACATGGTGTGGCAGACCACTCCTGACCCACCCAGTGCTCCCCTCTGCAATGTATTTCAGTCAGTCTACCTGTTCTGCTCCCCACCCTATCTCTGGTTTGAGTCATCTCACCTCTGGCATCTCTGGTTTGTACCCAAGTTCTTGTTGCATAAATAAATCTTTACAAAAAAAAAAAAAAAAAAACTTCTGTGTCATTCAGCCAATTGTCCCAGAAATTTGCAAGTATCTAATCTGTGTACACTACCCTTTCCTCAGATTGCCTCCCTGTTCTTGACTTTTTATGGCCTGTTGGTTTTTCCAAATGCCATTTGTTGTGTTTAGAATACTTTCTGGCTGCGTTTGACCTGGCTACTTCCTTCTCCATGAGATTTCAACTTGAAAGTCATTCAGAGTTGTCATTCCTGAATACAATATAGATTTTTCAGGCTCCCTGTGTGCAGTGCTCAATTTCTTGACTTACTTGACACTTAGATTTTCTAATTATGTATTTGTTTTGCTTCATGTACATTCCACACTTATATTGAAATATTTGAGTGCAGAAGCCATTTTTATCAATGTAAAACTAGCAACTTCTATAGTTCCTAGTACGTGAAGTGTGCTTAATAAATATTTAGTGAATGTAAAAATGAATGTATTTCTGAAAAATGCTTATTCAAATTTGTATTATTTATATAGAAAAAATTAATATGAAAACACTTTACCTTAATTTCATTGTTTTTCTCAAATACTAAGGATCAAAACTTTTAAATTCTTGCAACACTACTTTAAAGAAAAATTACTTTATATAGAAAACTTGGAATTCACTAATATCATTATAATATAAAAGTACATTTAAACAGTTTCAAAATATACCTTTTTTATAATTAATGCATTCGATATGTATTCAGTAATACTTTACTGCATATTTAAAAGTTGCTAAGAGTAGCAGCTTGAAAGTTATAACCA